TGCGAGTATATGCTAGATATTTTCTATTTTTCATTTATTTCCTTATTTTTCGTGTTTCTTTTAAAGAATTAATTATGTAATACTGTTTAGTATTTTTAAATTATTGTATAAAAAATATAAATATTAATTTTTTATTTCGCTTCTACACTTAAATTATTATATATTTTATTTTAGATTTCTGGAGTCGTTACAGTTTACGCTATAATTTAAATATTTTTCAGTAAAATCAGATATTTTAATCAAAATTATAATAGTATCTAATAATATATCATATTATATATTTAAGAGAGATTTTTTATTTGGAAATATTGTAAATTAATATTCTAGAAAGGTGTTGCAATCCGTGCGATGAATGAAATTGGGAGTTTTGATGGTCATTCCAGAACATTAAATTACGCGGTTCCTTAGTCAACAACAACAATAATAATAATAATAATAATAAATGCTACATACGTTACCCTTCTCCAAACTTCCAATTACACGGAAACAAATATCAACATATATGTGTATATATTTATATTACACGGAAAATATAAATTCATTAATATTAACATATATATAGATTACACAGGAAACAATATCAAGATCTACCAATTTCAAAAAATATATATACATACATGTATATATATATTCCTATTACACGTAATATATATATATATATATATTTTCCACTAAAAAATTAGAATAAAAAGGAAGAGATATTCGAAATTGCCTGGACAGATAAACTTGTATATATATATATATATATGTACACACACACATATATATAACACGGAAAAGAAACTTCTCAGGATAAAAGGAAGCCGCATTCTTGTCAACAAACAAAGTTGAAAATACTAAACGTTGAAAAATAGCCACTAAACTTTCTTTAATTTCAAATTGGACCAACCTCTCCATAAAACCCATTCAAATTTCTTTAATTAATTTCTAGCCCCTCGAATTGGACCGAAGTTCTCTATAAAACCCGTAACCAAACAGATCCCATTCAAATTTCTTTAATTAATTTCTAGCCCCTCGAATTGGACCGAGTTCTCTATAAAACCCGTAACCAAACAGATCCCCATTCAAATTTCTTTAATTAATTTCTAGCCCCTCTCCCTATAAAACCTCGTAACCAAACAAATCTCTAATCAAATTTTCTTCAATTAATTTTCAAACCTTTCGCTTTCTTTCTCCCTCCCTCCTCGGATTCGCCATGGCAGGAAACGGCACATCATGGGCTGATCAATGGGATTACAACTCAGATCCATCGCCTTATACCACCAAGAACACCACCGAATCATCCACCGGCGCCGGCAAGTACAAGCAGAAAGTCGGCGAAGGAATCGGGAAGACCAAAGCCGTCGCCTCTTCTGGCTTCAAAAAAGTCAAGGAAGGTACCTCCGTTGGCTTACAGTGGGTCAAAGACAAGTATCATAAAACTACTCAAAAGCACTAGACAAACACACACATACCGAAAGATTTTTAGGTTTCCTGATTATACTTGGATTTATCGATGGATTATTGATTTGTTTTATGTGTTGAATACTTGTTTTTCTTTATTTATTTATTCCTTTTGTTCTTCTTCTGTACATCGATCGGTTTAGAATGGCTTTTTTTTTTTCTTTCTTTGCTTCTTTCTATTTTTTGAGACGGAATTCTTGTTGCTCATGATTTCTGCGTATGAGTTTCTTGATTTGGTTTGGAATTTTGTTAAACTAACATTAGCTGATTATTTATGAGATTGGATTTAATTTGAATATGACATGAAGAACACAAGTTAATATTGAACTTAATATGTGTGATTTACCGGGCTAAGATCTAAAAAGAAAATTCAAATATTAAGTTCAGTTGCAAAGAACAATCTTCTAATCAATCAGCTTTCATCAAATATCGGTCTACACAAGATAATACTAATGTTCTATGCATATTCATTCGATGAAGACTCCTACAAAAGTATATAATATATATATATACACACACACACACAAAGGAAGTCTAGTTGGATGGCAATAAAACAATATG